ATTATACATATATAAATCTTGATCATTCTCATGAGCAACAAGAACCAGCCACACCAAAAATACATGTTTTATTGTCATTAAACATATAAATGACTGAGAAATGAGTTCTCAGGGCCAGCAAAAATAATCTGTCCTTTCATACAGTTAACACCTAGAAGGATTTTCACAATGCAAAACCTATTTTCTATAGATACAGTTGTGTTTTTTTTTTTTTTTAATAAGCCATTTTTATCTTGATGTAAAGTTTAAAGTTAATGTATATTTTACTTTTTCACATTCTGATCATTTTTCTTTACAGTAATTTTACAATAAAAATTTAATTGAAAAATTAAATAACACTCTTGAGTGCATCTTTATAGCGGTTTTAATGTCTTTTCAATGTCTTTCATTAGGCTCCAAATTCCTGGCGGCACCCCTGCTGGAAATAATAGTAGTCTGACATGGTGGAAGTTTGAAATGGTAATTCTTGTAGCAGGATGGTTTTCATTCTTCCTTTTAACAGGAAGAAACCTCCAGCAGAACCAGGCTCAGTGTGAGCGGCCATCTGCCGAAGCCGACTGGGGTTCAAGGAGACAGAAGCAGAGATACAAAAAGCAACATTTAAAGTCAAGACTTTGAATGCATCTTTAAATGTCTTGAGATCCCCTCCTAAATTAGCTTCCAGGTGTGCTTTTAATCACTGTATAACCTCACTGCACCTGAGCTGGAGTTGAAAATGTTTCAGGATTAAGAACTGCTTTTGTATTTTCCCTAAATTCGGCTGAAAAAAATGACACTATGGAACCATAAATATTGCACGTCCTAACATGTGAGTCAGTTACGTAGCGCAGACTTACTAATAGAAACAATAACACAAGCTAAAGCGTGCTACTGAATATATGCATGGCGTTGTAGCATTTTTAACCAAGCCGAATTTAAGGAGATTATATTTCAACTAATTTTATTTGTTTAGCAGTGCATAATGTTACGTAATTACGGTTTAGGCGATAGTTATTCTAAATACACAATTTTTTTAAATGGAGTTTTGCGTAGCCACTTGAAGCTGGCGATAACTCTCCACTGTAATAATGCAGAAAGGGGGAAAACATGACATTAACCACCCGTTACACATTAAATTTAGCGATATGTCGGTTTAAGGTTATTTCTATAGGGTTCTCTCTTATTACCTGAGGTATCGGGCTGGCTGTGGTTGGAGGAGCCGCTGTGACCTGTCACTCGGTGGGTGGAGAATGCCTTTAAACCCCCCTGTAAGACCACCGGAGCTCCACCGTGGGCTGCCAGCTGCCAGGAAGGCCGCAGTCAGGGAACCTGCTGTCCTTGTAGGAAAGGTTTTAAACACCGACCGACGCCATACTTGTCTTAACATCCTAATCCACTTTGTGCATTACTTCCAGTAAGCGTGCTAATGCTAGCTGCTATGGATGTCCAGGCATGGAACAAACTGCATTACCATTATTTGACACCAGATGGCGCCACAGGCTAAATAATATGACCGATTGAAACGCGGAGCCTGGAATCTGATCTCAGCGTTTACATTGAAAAATATAATAAAATGCACCGTTTTTGGCATATACTTAATCATATTTCGTTACTTTAACACAATTTTTCATGTTAGCAAGGTAGGACATAAAACAGTTGTGTTAAAGTAACGAAATATAATTAAGTATATGCCAAAAGAGGATGCATAATGTTTTTTCAGTGTAGCATGTCCTGCAAGGTATTTGAATAGGATAATATATGAATTAGATTATTGATCTGTTTGTTACATTTTGTGTGCATGCATCGGTGCATGCGTTGAGCTAATAGAGCAAAACACTGTATGGGTTCGCTTGTCATATCCGTCCACATGATGCATCTACTAAAAAAAAAAAAAATCTCATCTTTTGCTATATAAAATGAAAACATCAAGAATTTTGGATAATAACCTAATTAATAACCTAATTTTGTATATAACCTACAATAACTTAAATTATGTCATTGTATTTGGTTATCAAATCAATTCAGTTTAGTCTATCAAATAAACTGCCTGTAGTGTCTTTAAATGTCCAGCAGGTGTCAGTATTCTGTATCAGTGCAGTTTGGCAATGTGTGGAAACGCTTCCAAGATGCCTCATTAACGCATCACTATCTCAGGGCCTCACCCATTGGGAGTGAGACTCACCCATCTCAGTGTCTTCACACACTCTCAATCCATATTCCCTATTTCTCACACTTAAAAATGACGGACATTAAAACTCAACTCTGTTCCACTTATTTATCTATAAAAATACCATGGTGATGAAAATCCAGTGTGTGCATTTAATACAACCGTGGTGCTAACACACAAGGACACACCAGGTTCAGATCCAGTCTGTATTCTCACCTATTCACTGTGCCAGATATGAAAAAAGACAGTTGTAATATCATTTTAATTTTTTTCTTATCTCATCTGGACTAGGATAATTCTCTTTGTAAATGATTGACGATTTTTAACAATCTAGTACTTGAGTAAATTAATTAAAAATACAGCAGCTTGCTTAGATTATTGATGTGGAGACTGAGTGTAGGATCACATCCAATGGTTTGTTTTCTCTTTTCCTGGTGCTTTTAGTCCCAGTTTTAGTCTATGTTCCAGTTAAATAATTATTGCTCAGTCTAGTTTAGTGATCTTCCGTTGGCATTTAGGAGTAATTAAACCAACACAAATATTTAAATTCTCAAAGCTTCCAGGTTTGTCCCTCAAGCCCATAGGAGCTCGACAAAAAGAAAAAGAACCATTGCATTTTATTTTTCAAAAGATAAGCCAGCCAAGAAAAGACCAACAGCATCCAGAGATGATGTGCAGAATAACTCAATTATCCAGATTCATAGAGGAGAAACCACCAGGATGTTCTTCTTTTATCATAATTTATTCATTTATCTTTATTTTGGTCAATGAATATGTTTAAAAACTTCCTTCCAAATGAAACATCCAGAGAAGTGTCTCCTGTTATGGTTAGTTTTTATAAAATCTACAGTTTCCTAGAAGGTCTGAATTGTTTAGCTGTTTTGTCAATTGTAAGATTGATTGTTACTAATAAAATAAGGAATAAATCTTTTTAATCCTTAGGCTATTACCAAATATTCATACACAGTGTAGTTTGCATAGGTTTCGATTCCACTGGTTCCAGTATTAGTGTCAGTAATCCAGTAATAGCTTTTTAATTCCCCATTGTTTCATTTACTTGAACTGCAGAGAATAATTAATGAACAAAGTTGTGAAATTCTTAGTTTAAAGTATATTTAAGATGCAAGTATTATCGTAGGGCCCATTCTGCTTTATTTCAATTCTCTAAAAAAATCACCAGAATGTAGAAAATAATGTGTATTGGGGGAAAAAAATGTTCCACATAACTACAGATCACTTATTATTACACAGTAACATTTACTGCGCTATAAAAATTCCACATGTTGCAGCTTTGTTAATCCTGTGAAAACCTCCAACTTATAGCTGCAGCCATCCTCATCTAACTCTGACAGGGTTTCCTGTCCAAACTATTTCTAAATCTCACCCCAAGGTTTGGATAAAAGTTGGCAGCCCTGCTATCTCCAATCCACAATCATAATTTCTTCTTTTTCCTGTTTGATCCTTCTATCGTTGTCCTCCATTCTACTATTTGTGTGCATCCTTTCCTTTTTTACTGTGTCCTTCATTTGTTTCTTCCTGCTCTGTGTCCATTTCTTCCCTATGCCCTTCCTATTTGTCCGCTATTTTTCACTTCCTCCTCTCTCTCCTTTCTTCTTTGAGTCATACCTCTTTTTTTTCTTATTTATTTGCTTTCCCTCCTTAGGTTTTTTCCTTTTGCAATTTCTTTCTTTCCTTCTCATCCTTCCTTCCATGCTCAGAGAGTAAGGTGGTAAAAATATCTGGCATGAACTTTTATTTATGTTGAAACTCATGCTTCAATTTTAAATTCTAAATGATTTTTGCGATGTGAAAAATGTGTGTGGAAACATTAATACATTATGCTGAAAGTTTTTATTTCTTTTTTCTTTAAAATGTGTAGAAATGGGTAAAAAAAATAAGCATGAAATAAATTGTACATAAATATTAACATAGATTAAAAAATATATAAAGTATACTGACATGCACTGCAAAAAAATGTAAATCTAAATAAGACATTTTATCTTAAAATCAGTGCAATTTTTCTTGAATTAAGGCGGTAAGGGAGACAATTTGTCAATGGAACAAGACAATTTACATTTATAATACTAAGTAAAAAACATTTGCATTGTCTTAATTCCATTGCATATTATCTAATCATCTTATTTGAAGGGTAAAAATGCTCATTCCAGTGGCAGACCATCTTACCTACCTGCTAAATTAAGGGTAAATACGTTTAATTTAAGAATTGATTACTTTTTCCAGTGTGATTTCATCGTCGTTTCCCTTTTTTCAAGTTGAGCTCTACAACCGTTTTAACAAAGTCAGCTCTAGTCACCACGTCTGAGGCGATGATGTTCATAGGCGTCTTTTCATGCTGCTGCTTCGCCCATCGTAGCATTTTTGGCAGACCCCTTCGCACGACGTTGGGGAAGCTGTCGCACACACGCAGGATGTATCTGAGGATGCCAGAATTGTGTGGAAGGGTTGGATTCAAGCCACAGACGAAGAAATCTGTAAATGAGTCATAACACAAGTTTGCATCAGAGAAACAATGTGGTGTAAAATCAATTTACTGCAGTTATTTTGTGTGTATTTGTTGATAGGAAAAAATATGAATTCTGATTACTGGAAGACATTATTATCAAGAAGTGAGTCAATCTTTGTGGAAATCAGCAACACTCACAATTGGGAGACTTCTGCTTTTCCAAAGCCTGACATAGTTTGGCTGTAATTTTTGCACGGTCCATACTGTTGCCATAGTAATACGTTATTTTTCTCCATAGCACAGCCTGATGGTAGGATGGATGGTCATATGAAACTATTACGTTTTTGCCGTTATCCCAGCAGTGTTTGAGAGTGGGATTGACCTGCAGTGATACAGTAATGCTGTCATAGAGTGATTTTTGAATTCTAGGCCAGGAGAGAAAAAGATGGAGTAAAATAATCCTAAAAGAAAGAAAAGGAATACCATATTTGGCAAGAGTTTGGCTTTGAAAAGGTTTTTGATGAACTCGATCAGGTGGTTGTGAAGTTTTGCTGCAATCTTCTTGTCAAATCCCTCGAAGTGGGATAAAGACAAGATGAGGATTTCTTTAGGATGACTCTCCGCCCACGTGTTTATTTCCTGAAGAATGGTCTGATTACAGAAAGAAAGCAAAAAATGAAACAAACAAAGTATAATTTAATCAAACTTAATGAGGGTTTTTAATGCATGGAGCCAGTAAACCCCAGAGAAGCATTCATCTCTTAGCACTATGTTTGGTCTCAGACTTCAGGAATGGAGTGTTTACCTCCACGTCGGTGTGTGTGTACAGCCCATGGTGAAAATACAGCCTGGTAGGATCAGTGTCGTTTGGCTTGCGGCCGATCCTAAGGTCAAAATAGCGAACTCCTGCATTTAGCTGCTCAGTCATGTTCACCTCCTGAGACAGAAACTGACAAGTCAACCTCCCCATCCTTTCCATCTTTCTCCATGCTGTTGTGATTAATTCTCGCCTTACCTGAGTGGCTGCCCATGTGTGTATTATTTTACGCACGCAATAAATCCTGCTAAATCTCCTCAGTGCATTAGGCTCGATGATTCGGGAGTGTACGTCCAGATCGTAACTCATTGAGTCGTGGCTTCCTGGGAATAACAAAGAAAGAACAAGTAGGAGAGCAGAGCTGTGGTTTTATGGTGTCACACAGGCTTGGACTGGTAATCTGTGATACCGGGTATTTGCCCGGTGGGCCGCTCCTAATTTCAGCATGCAAGGGCTGGCTGTCCTTAAATCATACCGGCCCCAACAATTAGTCTCCGGCCAAAGCACCTACCTGAGACATTAAATAACTCAAGGAGCTCAAGAAGTAATACAATGTCAACCACCTACAAGATGCATGCAGTATATATTGCCCTTCCTTTTCATGCACATGCTTGTGATGGTTGACATGTGATGTAATTATCTATTTCTCCAATCTGTAATATCCTTGCAACAAACTAAATTATAATAAAACTAAAATCCTTCCCTAAAACCAAACTACGATGTTCCTCTTCTATTTGGCGAGTTTATGTTAGAGTATTTTGCAAAAATATGTGCATGATGGGGCTTTGCATCTAAGGGCTAACGTTTCCTGCCTTACATGGATTGTTGCCAGGTTGGGATGTTTCCTGCTCCGGCAGTTTAGGATGGCGGTTTATGGGTAAAAAATGTTTTTCTTTAGATTTATGGCCTAAGAGATCAATAGGTTCAAATTGGGTGAGATTTCATATCTCCAGACGGTTTATGAACATTTTTTGGGCTCGTAAACGTGAGTCAGTGAAATCTGGCAACCCTGCTGGTCATTACACAGCAGCAGTCACTGTCGCGTCCGTGTTAATAACCAAAGCCAATAAAACCACCATGAGTGGGCAGGTGTAGATGGAAAAATGCCAGTGCCAAAAATCATTCCCAGGCCGAGCCTGGTGCCATACTTTCAGTTTAGATAGACACTTGTCTACAGCCTTTGTCTGCTTAAAGGCCCTTCTTACTCTTTTATCAGAATCATTCAATGGATTTATGGAGATTTCAAGAGACAGGCCACAGAAAATACATTTTCAGTGTAATCTCCACAGTGTTGACTGTGACTGGCTGGATGTGCTCTCTTCGTCCTCTGACGTGGGAGCTGACTCAGAGCAGGTCTGCCTGGCTGTTTGTTTCCTGCACAGGGCCGCCTGTGGTTGGTTGACAGACTTTGTATCTCTTCTTCTTTCTGTATCTCTGCTTCTGTCTCCTTGAACCCCAGTCGGCCTCGGCAGATGGCCGCTCACACTGAACCTGGTTCTGCTGGAGGTTTCTTCCATTTAAAAGGGAGTTTTTCCTCTCCACTGTTGCTATACGGATGCTTAGTGTGAGGGATTGCATTCGATGCAATCAGCTTGTTTTCCTTAGATAGAAAACTTTGAATCAAATTGACTGTATGATCTGGTGAACTGTAAAGTGCCTTGAGATGACGTGTTGTGAATTGGCTCCATAAAAATGAACTGAAATGTACTGAATTATAACTTTAAAAGAAAAGGCGGATCTGTCCAGAAATATCTTTAAATACAAATAATAAAAGTTAAGTGATATTCAGCCCCATAGAGTTGGGCTTTAAGATTTGCAGGTGCGTTTACAGCTGTAGTCTTCTAGAATAGAATATTCAACTTTAATGTCATTACACTGTCACAAGTACAAAGCAACGAAATTCACTCTCTGCGTTTAACCCATCCCTTTGGGGAGCAGGGGGCTGCTATTGTGCGACGCCTGGGAAGCAGTGTGGGGTTAAGAGTCTTGCTCAGGGAGCCGAGCAGCAGTGTGGGAGTGGGGCTTGAACTCAGAACCTCTGGGATCCAGGCACGATGCCCTAACCCAGGCATCCCCAACCTCAGTCCTCAAGGCCCGCAGTCCTGCAGGGTTTAGAGGTTTCCTTGCTCCAGCACAGCTGATTTTAATTGAAAGCTGATTAACAGGCTTCTGGTCTACTGCAATCATTATAATCAGCTGTGCTAAAGCAGGGAAACCTCTAGAACCTGCAGGACAGCGGGCCTCGAGGACTGACTTTGGGGATGCCTGCCCTAACCAGAAAGCCGCCAATCGCCACTCTGGCTATAACTCCAGCAGTTCTCTACAATTGTATTTATGCTCTATCAAACCTGTGAACTTTGGAAGATGAAAACATTTTGAGAGATTAAAATTTCAAGCTTTATCACAGACGTTTAATTGGATTAGATGTAGGCTTTGATTAGGCAGTCTTGGCTGCATGTTTAGGGCTCTGGTCCTGCTGAAAGACGGACATCTACCTCATCACGTCTTCTGCATATTCTAATACTATGGTGCCCAAATGTTTGCTTTATAGACCAAGATAATTTGTTCGAAAGTACTCATGGGCTGAAATCTCTTTAAAAAACAAAAATAGAAAAATTATTATTTCTACTACTCTAATTTTTAAAATAGACATGCAACATCCTCTTGAAATGAAAAAAGATGCATGCAGTATGTAAAAAAAAAATGCATTTTAACATCAGAGTAAGAAAGTCATGCAAGGTTTTCTGAGGGTGGAAAGGTGAGGATATTATTTTCAATTATGATGGTGAAACGTGATTAAATGGTGCACTTTGCACATCTTTCAGCTTTTTCAAAACAATTTTTTAATTGTCATTACACTGTCACAAGTACAGAGCAATGAAATTCACTCTCTGCATTTAACCCATCCCATTTGGGAGCAGTGGGCTGCCATTGATGAACCTCTGGATTCCAAGCGCAATGTCCTAACCACTAGGCTGCAACTCTCCCTAAATATATGTTTCTAACATTACAGGTGCATAAGAGAAGAAGGATCAAAAAGACTCTTTTGCACCACCCAACATTTATTTGAAACATTGGTACTAGACCAATTACTAAGGTCAAGCACAAATCAATACTAGACCTTCAGTGTGAGTCTATGTTGATGGTCTAAAAAAATGAATATAGATCAGTGCTTAGCAACAACAAGATGATTTAAGAGAATAAATTAATCTGTGAAAATCTAGCTTCCTCAAAGACTGCTTGTTTTTATCTGCTGTATGTTGCTCTATCCATCTTCCCATCTAGCACAGCCAGATTCTTTCTATCTGCTGCAGAAAAGTATTTCCACAGCCTAATGCTGCCGCCGCTGAATTTGGCTGTAGGGAGGGTGCAGTAAAGGTGAAGCATTAGTTTCAATCCCAACATAAGGTTTTACTTTTTTATCCTTGTTCTGATCCATTTAGAGCATCTTCTGCCAAATATCAGCTGTGTGCAGTAAAGGGTCTATGATAAACTACACAGTGATTTGTCTAAATTTCATGCAGCAATAAGTTTCTTCTTTACCTCTCCATATACTCAATTCAATTCAAATCAGTATATTTCTATAGCGCCAATTCACAACACATGTCATCTCAAGACACTTTACAGTTCATCCAGTCAAATTGATTCAAAGTTTTCTTTTTAAGGAAAACAATTTGATTGCATCGACTCATTATGCTTGTAGCGACAGTGGAGAGGAAAAACTCCCTTTTAACAGGAAGACACCTCCAACAGGGGTTTAAGGAGAAAGGACTATAATTGTCCTCTTAACAGGAAAAAAATTGTGTGTTTTTTTTGTTATTGTTCTTTTTTAACACATTTGTTTTAAGGGGTGTTATACCAAATCTTACATTAGTAATCACAGTGATTACTAATTAAACAAATATAAATAGCTGAAGTAAAAAAAAAAAATATATATATATATATGAAAAGTTTAAGAGTTCTGGGATAGAGTTAGATGTGTGGATCTGAAGTTTGATTTTAAACGTTTTACAGCCAATAACCAGTCACCTTCCCTTTGTGATGACTGTAATAGAGGAGTCAGTGTCAAAGTGACATAACCAGAGTTTCCTACCTGGAATGACCAGTTTAAACAGAGAGGTGGTATGAAGCTCAGCCGGCAGTTTCGACATCCAGTCAGAGTAGCTCATGGCTGTTTTTTTTTTTTATTAATGTCCTTGAAACAGAAAGATACAAGGCAACAGTTAAGCTCACCGACCTGAGGAAACAATCCTTATAAAGAGAATGCTTTAGAGGCTTACCCTGCTGAAGCACTACTTCTTTTCTCCACCCTTATTCCCTCTGTTCTGACAGTGCAGCTGTTATTTACTATGTATGACCGGCTGAATTGTTTCTGCTGCAAGTCTTTAACCTGTTGTGGGAGGAGATTAACAGTTGTTTCTCCTGTTGTTGTTCAGGTTTTCTTGCCAAGCTGCAATGTAACTTCCTCATACAATCATTATTTCCTACTGGCTAAACTAACATAGTAAGTCTTTCAGGTTTCAATCGATACAAAAAAATGTCACTAGATCAGTTCTGCCACATCAGATTTTTATCATTTAGAGGGAAATTCTCCATTGAACTGCAGCATTTTTTTTTTATTTTCTTTAGTAGAGGCTGCAGTGAGTTAATATCTGTATCCAGCTTTATTTGTTTAAAAAAAAAAAAAAAAACTTTTTTATTATATTCTAAAAATAATTATTTGAGATAACAACTTTAAAAGACAGATGAATTTACATAAACTATTATGTCAGGTGACCACCTGTATGTGTGGCAGACAGGTTAGGCCACAAACAAGCTCCTGCCCCCTTCATGACATCACAGGCAGCTAACCAATCAGTGCTTAGTCTTGAAACTTATGTTTCTGTGTCAGTAAACAGAGAATAAAAACATATCAAACATGATTTCTGATCAAACAATGTTTTTTCCCAATGTTGCCTTGTTTTTTGTGCAGCTTATGATAGATTTTTTTTTTTTTGGGGGGGCTTGCAAATGTTTTACCTGTCCTGAACTTTAATGTGTCATATTTCAACCACAAACCTCATGTCTTTTCTTGGAATTCAGTTTAAAAGATGAGGAAATCGAACAGACACCTGTTTAGTCCATCATGAACAGCACAGTATTATGCAAAACCTACCAAGACATGTCTGTCCACCTGAAGTAAGGTGGCCAAGTCTATGGTACCTTAGATAAAAGAAGTGGAAAAGGTATTCTGGCAAGATAACTAACATGCAACATCATCATCATCATGATGACCCCCATTATGACACATAGTGGTGGCAGCATCATGCTGTGGAGATGCTTTCCTGCAATAGGAAGCTCTTAATTGATGGGAAGATGGATGCAAATGTGCAGCCAAAAGAGGACTGAGGGGTGCAAATTGAAGCATATTTATGTATTAAAATGACCCAGTCAAATAGTGAGAAACCTTTATATCCAAAGACCTGTTTTATTTATTCTTTATAAACTTAATTTATTAAATGTGTCTAGATTTGTAAAAATACCTTTAACACTCCGGGGGAAAAAAACAAGCTTATATATATTTTTTTCTACTGCATGAAATATTTTCGTATAACACAACAAATAATATCTAGGTTCAACTTTTTAAAAAATTAAATAAGAAGCAGGAACTAGTCTTTCTCATCTTTATACATCTAACAATAATGTCTGTATCATTTGTGTCTAATGTGAGGAAGAACCACATGTACAAAAATGGTTAAATAGATAAATACATTAATAAATGGAGCCTTAAAACACAATTCTAGAAAGTTCTTATTCCACAAAGGTTAAATGCTAATTTTGGCCACACTTTTTCAGAATTTTAGTAGTTTTTGCTTGTTTATATGTTTATCCTTTACCTCCTCAGGTAAAGGATAAATGCGGTGAAACTATGGGTACTCCACCCTACTCACCATCCTGATTCTGGGACGTACTTTCACCTGAGTCAGATAAGTTTAGGTTACGTTAATTCTTGACAACACAGGCCCCCGAAACATTGCTTAAATTGGCTTAGTTATAGTTAGTTGAGTAACTTTTCGACAAAAATATACTTAAAGGAGTAGTTTTACTACTTTTTACTCTAACTTGGGTAATATCTTGACAAAATATTGCTACTCTTACTTCAGTAAAATGTTTAGCTACTCGACCCATTGTGACCAGTGGTGGAAAGTAATAGAGTAAATTTACTTGATTACTGTACTTGAGTACTTAGTGAATCTTTACTTAACTTGAGTTATTTTTGGAGGGGGTACTTTTAA